GGCTTTGTGTTTTGCATCGCGTATATGCAGGGGAAAGTGTGCATACATCTTACTTTAATGGCCAGAGGCTGGCAGAACCGGGCTCCAGTCTGAGTCAAACGCGTATGTTCTGCACTGTTGATACGGGAACCTTTGATGGGGGAGATGTGCCAGCCCGTACGCGGTGAGCCGGGAACTTTGGTCGCGGCGCGTTAGGCAGCTTCGCTCAAGATATGATTGGCTTCCTAAACGCGCAGGCCCACCAGCTGCTATAACGGGACTAGCGCTCGGCTCGCCACATGCAAGCACATCGAAGTCCGCATGAAGCCGAGCTACCTTTCTTTGGTCGTAAACCCTGAAAGCATCTAGACGGTGTACATTTTGGCTGAGTCCGAACTATGTGGCTAGGTATATCCGCAGGGCGAAGCAAGAGCATAAGCGTTAGGCTCCAGGGCGCAGAGCTAACCGAGAATCCGAAAGAGAAGGCATTCAGCGTTGAACAGGTGACCCTCATCGTCTAGGGCTTTTGCTCGTTCCATCAAACCTCCTCTCAGGATACCAACCTTGACCAAGAACACAACTATCGCCCTATCTTCAGCTCGAAACATGACCGATACTCAACGATCGAACCCCACGATGGCTGTCGCTCCAAGCCAGGAGAGCTCACCCCCAAAGTTAGATGCTTTTCTATCAGCACACCCCGAGATCCAGATTGGTCGCGCCGCCTTTGAAAGCCTCCAATCTACCCACGATGGAAGCGACTCATTCTCCATCATCAACAAGCCGTTCGTAAACATGGTGCTGTATCAAGAGTTCAATGCGGATACGAGAGAGCGCATATACGTCGTCGCATTGATTGACGATAAGAAGGCTCTTGATCAATATGAAAAAGATTGCGGTGGCACTTCGAACGAAGATGGATGCGATTGTGCAGAGAACCAAGGGCCCGAACACATGATTTACGAGCGTGTCGTTGAATACAAGAGCGCGGATTGCGAGAACCACAAGAATGAGCCGGAGCCAGACCCTGGTTGTTCTGAGTGCTGGCCAGTTTTGTGTGGGAGTAAATGCGCTCCTTGAAGTGCCTGGGTGACGAGCAGCAGTCACAAGTTGGAGATTCTGTACTGTTTGGTTTCGTAGAACTTGTTGTTTTAAGGAAGATTCATTGTAACCGTCGAAAGCGTTTTGTCTCTACCTCCTGTAGAATCAATCGAACGATGGCTGTTGGTAGATAACCGGGCATAAAGGTGTAATCCAGTAATCGATGCCACTTGATACTTCTCTGGAGGCTGTTTCAGGTTTATTCGTAGGCTAGTACAGCAAATATACATCCTGACGAGTTCACACTTCCAAGCAATGACGTGCATTGGGGTTTTGTCAATGCGTGCACTTGGGCAACTAAGTTACGAGATATAAATTGACCTGCGATAACCGATATTCTCATAATGCAATGAGTAGACGTGATAGAACGATGAACGGTACAAACAGGACGAATACCACAGCGGTAGGCGCATTGAGAGCGCTGGCGCCGCTCACTTGTATCACTGGCACTGCTTTTAGCGTGAGCTGCGAGGCTTGCTAACGAGTGGCCTTTTAAGAACAACTATTACCTGGCATGTTGCTGCTATCTGGGATGCCGTCAATAGTAGATTTCACAAAGTCGTATCCGATATCTGTTCGAATTCCTTCAGGGTTTTTAATCTCGGCGTCCTCATCTTGAGAGACTGTTAGCAAGGTTGCGGTTTTAGCCCGGAAGGACAACTCACACCACAACTCGTAGGCCTCCGGATGGGGCCCAACAAGACCAACAAAGCCTTTACCGTATGGCGTTACTGAGGCAGCGACATTCTGATTGGCAGAGTATCTAGCAACAATTCCACGGTCAGAGTCGTTGAAGCCTAGCATCGTTGCGCCTTCTTGGAAGTACGCCCATCTGGCCTTCTCCAATCTCGGGCTGCCAGTGCTAGCATTGAACTTCCAATCGACTTGAATCGTGGTATCTCGGTCGTCGTCAATCTGTGCTTTGTCTTGCAGTATTTCGGATCCGACGTCGATACCGCTGGGCATAAGATCGAGTGCTGACTTTCCAGCAAGATAGGCCCCCAGGCAGAAGCCCATATACCGACCGCCGCCGTTGACAAATTCTCTGATCGTCTTCGCATGCGTTTTGAGCTCATCCCAAGCTTCGTCAAGATCTGTGAAATCATTCTTAGTCTCTTGTGCTTACTTCAAAGTCAAGACGCGCTACGTTCTCATCATTGGACTAGGAAATACTGACCTGGTCCACCAGGATATGCGTAGAGATCGGCTTTAGAAAGAAGAGAGGGGCTGAGGTCCACTTCTTCGTCCGGTCCAGCATATGTGACGTTGAAGTGGTAAGGGGAATTCATGAGGAGTCTGCCGACACTCTCGGAGCAGTTGTCGCAAGCGCTAGACCCACGGTAGATGATGGCTGTCTTCATTGCTACGACGGCGGGTAATGCTACGAGCAGTACCAGGCCATCTGTGATTCTCATCTTGATTTGAGTAGTCGAGGAGTGCTATGTTGCGCTTGAAAGAAGTGTGTAAGTTGAGGGAATCAAATAATGTAGGTGTTTACCGGGTTGAGTTTTATATACACGGCTTTACCTAGGTATGCACAAGAGGGATGGTACCTTGATGTTCCTCAGGTGGGCCTCCCGCCCCATACGCGATACTCGCAAGGGAGGCCTCACCATATTAAAAGCCTCCACTACAGTCATCGCGCGAGCGCGTACATGATTGCTGGGCGAGAGGATCAATACTTAGATTTCGCTAGCAAATAATGAAGCCGACATTGAACTTCGCTGTCGGCTCAGCATCGCCTGGGCAGGCTGTGTCACGCGTCGAACGCAGATCACTTGTAGTGAGATGAATTGAATGGTGGAAGCGTATAGCTGGCTAATCAGCGACTTTCTGATATTATAAAGTGTCGTAAAGGTAGCACCGGGCAATTTCCCTCAAGATGTTGGCGTCGGCCCCAGAATGCGCGTAAAGCCGGCTAATCATTGACTTCGGCCCCACCTGGGCACCTGAGGCGAGAAAAACCTTGGAAGGGCCACATCTCCATCTCACACCTATTCGAGTCCAGCAACTCTCTCGCATCAGAACTTACGTGATGGCCCCTCCTCGTGACGCTCTGGATCTCAGAGCTACCTACTCAATTGTCTGTTGGCGTAGCATAGCAAGCTGCTTCTGGCAATCCTCCTTTGCTTGCTTTGCCTCGTCGATTCCCCAGCGCCCATCCCTCTCCAGTGTGTATATCTTCTCTATCTTTTTAATCTGCCGCAGGTGGGCTTCTGCCTCGGGCCCAAGAATCCCCAACAAAGTACCAGCGGGAAGGTCTTCTTTCTTACGGATGATCTCACGCCACTCGTCGGTTTGGCCATATTTTGGCGCGTGTTTATTGAAGTCGGACGCAAGTGCGCCACTGTCGCTTGCGTCGAATCTCTCTCCAAAACGAACCCCGTCGCGCATGTCAACATTCAGGCAACTATTGATGTAGCTTTTGACCTTTGGAGGCATGTCTCGAAATCTAGACTGGTACTCTAGTACCTTGATCATGTCGACGGAAATAGCGCCTTTTGGTAGCTTGAATCCGATGTCGGCTAGACCCTGCCGTGTCAAAGTTGGTCGATGGAAACAGACGCAGATTGTCGGATACGTTGATGACAGGTCACGGAACATCTTTTCGAGACCCGCGACGGCCTCATTGGTCGATACAAAGCTGGATTGGGGAACGTTTGGTCTCCCGTTCCATTTGGACGGCACCCAGAATCGGTACTCGTGCGCTTTGTTCTGTCTTTCATCGCTTTGATCCTCAGTGCTTGATACTGCTGGGGATGCTGGGGTGGTGATTTCCACAAACAAGACTCGCATCGCTTCTACTTGCTTCCAGTAGCCCCTCGCCTCGTTACAGGATATCCAGCCGTTCCAGGAATAGGCCAGACCAGACGGAGCCCACTCCATTGATACCAGAGCGACATGCGATTTCTCCCAGCAGCGAGCCAGGGTTTCGTTTTCTGTTGCGCATGCCCGTATTCTCTTCATCTCGCTTTCGGAGACGAGGCCAGTCGGTGGTACCATGGCAATCACTGGGCGAATTGATCTGATGCTGCTAGGATGTAAGTAGCTGTTGATAAAAGATAGCTAGCATCACTACAACAACTTACACAGAAGACGAGCCGGAAACTAAAGAGGGCGAGAAGCTTGTATTCCTAAGCGCGGTAAAGAGAGGAAAGAAATGATTGAGAAACGGATGTCATCAAAAGCCATCGTTGGAGAGTTGTTCTCCGACTAGCGCTTACACTCTGAGAATAGAATTTCCATGTGATGATTTGCTCAAAATCAATACTACCTATCAACCTCAAGGCAGCAGCACAGCCTCGTGACACATGATCCCAAACACATGGTGGCTGAGTCGATGCTAAGAAGATTGCACCAACCTGATCGACCTTGGCCAACAAAAACTTGGACACTGGATACAACACTAAGATGAGTGAAAGTCCTGCTTGCCCAGGTGCGTTGTGATGATGTGGTGGGAGAAGCGCGCGCAGTCATGTGCGAGGCGGGGTTGGCGCACATTAGGTCATCGGGCGTACCACCCCGGAGGAAAGAAGCCACCTATCAACACCTGGGCACCTTTGCATTGAGCATCATCTTTCTCAGTTCGACTAAATTGTCAGATCTACAAGAAACTCGTATTATCGTTGTAAGTCTTCTGTTGTATACATCAGAAAAGTATTAGACTAACATTCACTTATCGGGCAGCGAGGAGGCTACTTAGGTATTTTGCAAATTACTATTGAATGCCCGCTTTAGGGGTGCGGACCGTACTATGTCAATAACCTGTGAATGCATGTATCATACCCCAGCCGGACAATTACTAATAGCTCCAGCCGTGTTAATTTCGTGACATCCCGTCAGAGTAACCGTCTCGCTCCCCTTCCTTTGTCGCAATCCGTCTTTGACCGTAGCATGTATCCACCTGGATGGGAATACGTCTACTGAACGGGAGGTCCTTGCATGTTGCTCAAGTTCTCCGGGATGGGCTGTTCGCGCATCTGGATCCAGAACTCTGGCCATTCGTCCCTGAGATGGCCTGTCGGTGACAATAAAGCTTCCGGTCAGTTCATCTTGTCAAGCTTATCCAGTGTGCGTAATCGAAGCAAAATCAACATTTTTACTCAGCCCAGATTAATACTTACCGATGAGATTAACGAAGCCCGAACGAGGAGCGAGCTTGTAACCGCCTTCGAAGGGCTCGAAGTGGTCCGCGGCGCTGCCAGGGTGGACTTGGTCGAACATGGTCCGGATGTCGGTCAAGGTAACCTGGTTACCGGACTTGAGGAAAGTGAGGATTCCGGGGAGGTGGCCGGCCTTGGTGGGGATCAGATCTGAAGCGACGTTTGGCATTGTTGTTGGGGTTTGTATGCTTGGGTTTGTTGTAAAGGGTGGGAAGAGAATTGATGTTGTTGATGTGTATCTCTTTATCTTGAAGGTGTGTTGTGTATGGAAGAAGGATACATGGTTCCTGATGGCTGGTTTATATACTGGGAGGGAGTGAGATATCTGAAGAATGGATATGTGGGAATTCGAGGTGAGTGAGAGAGTGACTGCACGTGGCTAAGTCTTGTGGAAGGAGTATCCTGAATAGTGCTGCAATACGCAAGCAAAAAATAGGTAGCTATGTCTTGAAAATAGTAGAACAATCGCGCGTGATCGAAAAGGTGTGTACTCTCTCCAAGTTCCCAAATTGCGTGTCATTGCGTAGGTGCTCGTGCAACTATCTGAGCGTAGATTCATGAATGGATACATTCGGAAGACTACAGATTCCATGGGATTATATTTCACTACAATGACACCGCCTAAATAAGGTATCTCCTGGAGAGATCTGAAAGGAACATAAAATAATGATAAAACACATCTACGAGAAACGCGACTTATATAGTCTGCCGTCAAAATTGAATGAGTGGAATACCACGGTGGGTGAGAATCACTTATTGTGCGCGGAACCATTGTTTGTGCAAGTCGTGTTTGGTATTGAATGAGAGTAGACTTCACCACCACAGTATAGCCCAATTACCAGTCCATCATGTGAAAGGAAAGAGATTATCGCATCACCATCTTCAATTTCTCCACACCCCGTGATTGTACAGATTCCGTCCAGCCATTTCACCTCCCAACACCAACCTCCGGGTCTTCGACCGCACACTTCGTCTAGGTAGGATTCGGATTTTCAGGCGTCGCATCTACAACGTATCGATTACTCAAGACACTTGGAATCGGGTTCTCGTGGAGCCCGGTCCAGAAATCAGGCCAGTTGTCTCTGTAATTGCCTACAGAATCGATAAAAGTCAGCTTTTGTTGGCCGCGCTGGGTTGAACATGCATCATGAGTGCAGAACTGAAGTTCTTCTTCAGCTCATGGTTATACGCATCGACCATAGTGCGAAAGCCCGACCGGGGACTGAGTATGTAACTGCCATTTGGTTGCTGGGTGCAATGCGCCAAGTGATCGTTCTGTTTAGCTGGCGTAGCAGTACGGTTGATAGCGATAAAGATGTCGGCTAGGGTAATTGTGGTATTGATGTTGGTCTGCAGGACGCCGAGAATGTCGACGACTTGCACGGATGTGAGGACGACCATTTCGGGTGGGATCGAGACGTTGGAACTGAGGAAGATCAAGGAGAATGATTTTTGGTAGTAAGTCGCTCGTTTCTCGTCTTCGAATGTGTTGTAGAGTGAAGTAGCATACACCCATATTGAGAGCAGCTTTTATACTGCGACTGAGTCAGATATCTCTAGAAGCGAGTGACTCGATCTACAGAGTGTGTGAGAGAGTGACTGTTACTGGATCATGTAGGATGATTCTGGGTAGCATGGCTATGCCCAAAGCGAGGAGTACCAGTCATGATGCAGACTGGAACTGAATGAGTTTTCTGAGTGTAAGGATACCATAGTAGACATGGCAGATTAAGCGTGCCGTTTTTATACTACCGATCAGTCGCGTGTTGTGGTATACGTGCACTTACAGGGACCTGAGCTTAGTGTTGGCGGAGAGTTGGAGGACGCGCTCGAACCACCTCCATTCTACGATTGCGGGCCACTGCAACCACTACCTAGCTGTGACAGAAGCGCGTCAAGATCCTGACTTCTATTACACTCGTCATCTCCAATCTTGTACTCCTGACTCCTCCAGCCATTGCCTTCTCCGCACTCTCGAGCCACCTCGCTCCTACCACTGCGGGTCACCCCAACCACTATCTGGCTGTGACGGAGGCGCATCAATATCCTGACTCCCATGGTCTTCCTCAGCTTCAATTTTGTACTCTTGACTCCCGCAGTCGTCATCTCCAATCTTGTCCTCCTGACTCCCATGGCAGTCCTCATCTCCAATCTTGTCCTCCCGACTCCCCCATTCCTCTCCTTCTCCAAACTCCCCAGTCACCTCTCCGTGCGCCCTACTCTGAGCAGCAGTGTCAGCTTCCGCTAAAACATCCCCCAACCAACCCAGCAGCCTCCACCCAGCTCTACGCACGACGCCAAAACGAAAGCAGCGCGAGAGGACCACGTTACCGCCGAAGCTGTCGAAGACACGCAAGAACACCGATCGAGGCGGCGCCATCTCCTCCACGTCATCTTCTCGCTCGTACACACAATCCTCCACCTGCGAAGTATCCTCTCCCTTCCGCTCTTCTGTTTCCCGTTCCACCCCCTCCTCTTCCATCCTCTGCGGCGAAACCCAAACCAACGGATCATCTAGCTGCCCCTGCAGACTACAAATACCATCCTCCACGAGCAGTAACAGTTTCTCATACTCTTCCGTTTTTCTCTTAACCGCCCACTCCAACTGAATCCCCTTACCAGTCGGGGTAGGGAAGTTGTGCGCAAAATAGTTCCTATCATGTCTGATATCACTTGCCGCACCCATAGGATCCGGCAGGCCAAATGCGTGACAGCCCCAATCACTATTCACAGCGCGCAGGTTCTCGTTGATGGCGATGTGGTGCATCGCAAAGTCATTTTGCGCCTTTTCCAACGCCGTTAGTGCTGGCGAGCGTCGGGTTGCAGTGTTGTGGACTACGGCCAACGACGACGCTGGATAAGTGTCCAAGATGGATAGGTTAGCGACGAGGTGTTTGCGGAGCGTGTAGAAGTATTCTAGGGAGAGGAGAACGGATATACGGGATACGGGGTTGGGATAAGTTTCCTGAGTTAGTGTGCCGCTGGGGGAGAGGGTGTAGTAATGGATTGTTGCGCGGTAGTTTGGGTATGTCGGATCTAGATCTTCGATTTCATCGTGGGTTAAAGAGGGGAGAGGTGGGAGGTCAGCTAGGTCGTCCAGTGCTTCATTAGCTGTATTGTTGATACCTGGGCTTGGGCTTGGAGAAGGGTAGCTAATCTCAAGCTCTACTTCAGACGCCGTGGTTGATACTGAGCTGTTGGTGCATTCGAGCGCAGTAGACGGTCCGAGAATTGCGAGAATCTCAGTAGACATGGCCATCACGCAACTTTCTGCTTTGATAGCGGGTAAATTGAAGTTATCATATATACTCAAAGTGAACATGTACATATCTTGCGCACACTGTACGCAGAGCGACATTGTCGGCGCATGTCGTACTTCTTGCAATCACCCAGACACTGTGGAGTAAGAAGAGCTGAGCTCCAGAGACGACAGTCCAACGGTAGCTTGTCGTCGTTATCTGATTGACGTTCTTCTCAGTGTTGTGCTGGCGTCCAAGCTCGGATAAGACCAAGCTCCAACGTTCATCCCATGCCAAACGGTCATCGTCCGAGAACAACATTGTACTATTCCTGTTCGTCCTCGGCCTCACTATCGTTATGGACCATGCCATGTAGTCCTTCCGTTTCAGCACCGATCAAAGGAGCCCTCTCGCCCTCGTGACGCGCGAGATGGCCTCCTATGCTGACAGCCAGAGTACTAAAGCCATGGATCATGGTACTTCCGAGCACAATGAAGCAAACAAGGGGCCAGATCATAGTAGCTGTCCGTTGTCGCTCCACGGGCAGATCCTTAGGCGGATGTGGAAGGGGTAGGGATGTACCAGTCTCGAGCTGCGCGCGGGCTTCGATAGCGAGGAAGAGGGCACCGACACCCATTGGTCCAAAATGTCCGACAAAGAGGGCTTCAGTTGTAGTCTTTACGGATGGCAACATGTTCGTCTTGAAAAGCGTGAAAACGATCGGAATTCTGCGGAAGAGTAGGATGAGTGCGAGTAAAGCAACCAGTCGAAGAGGGGTGATTCCGTCTACCGCGTTGAAGCTCGCCCAGGGTATCATTGCGCCGAAGAAGATGAAGAAGGCCGAGTTGATCAACAAGTCGATGATAACGGGTAGAGCGGTTCCTTCTGTCGGGTTCTTCTGGTTGTGCGCGAAGCCACGTCCTGCGAAAAAGGCCACTAGGAAGTCGTCGACTCCAAGAACCGATGCCAGTCCGATAGAAAAGATGGCCAGGAGTAGGTAGAAGGCGAGGTAGGAGGCTCGACCCATCCACTCGCGGCTGTGCGAGAACCTATACAGCCCGTTGAAGATGTATCCCAGAGCAATACCGAGAAGAACGCCTACCACGCACTGGTACAGTATCGTAACGAGGAACCATTTCGTGAAGAAGCCCTTAGCAGTGTTCTTCAAAAGAAGACTCAACCCCAGGTACAAGAACGGGAAGGATATGCCGTCGTTGCAACCACTCTCCGCGCTCAACAAGTCCCTAATCCGCTTGGGTACTCGGGTGCTAAACTGGCTGTTTGACAGAACGGAAGCCGCGAGAACAGGATCCGTGGGTGTTAGACATGCCGATATCGTCAAAGCAGTCTGGAAGTCTGTGTCGAACAGGAACATGATTAGCATTCCGCACATCAGCCAGCCGAACGTCATAACAGGCCCGAGAAGAACAAGCAGGGCGCGCCATTTCTTTTGGAGATAGCCTGCGGGAAGCTCCAGACCGACTACGAAGCACTGAATCCCGACGATGAGACGCGTCAGTTCTTGGATAATTTCATCCTGCGACGGTTAGTATTGTTTGTTTGTACGAGGAGCACACTTACGGAAAAGCCCCATTCATATGGCCTGAGGAGGTTGAGAGCGCGTGGTCCAACGATCTGTCGGTCTCGTTAGAAAAAGATTCATGCTTAAAGTTATCCGTACTTACGATACCGAAAAGCGTGGCTAATGGCGGTTCTGAGAGATGCAGGCGGTTCCGGATCATAAGCGAAAACAGCGCGTACAAGATGAGAAAGAAGGTTAGGGTCACATAGGTAACGTGCGGCCCTGTGGGCTCGAGTTGAGACCAGACCATGATGCTTTACTGTTGGTCAGAGGCACGCGTGCAATTGTGGTGAGTGAGTTGAAGTCTCTGCGAAGCTTGGGCGAGAGTAGGCGTTCTATGATCGCCGTGACGTCGAGGTAAATGGCGAACACCGCTAGGAAGAAACACGCGCGCTGGAAAGACAGCGGAGATTCACGCACGAAGACCTCGAGCGGCGAATATCACGGGGGACCTGAAGTGCAGGATTAATGGCGCGTTGGATCAGGTGTCGAGCGCGAAGGATCACGCTGCATGGAGGTGCGCATCGATGACGAAGGTTGGCTGGATTGGGCATTGCGCTCGGACCGTAGTTGCCGGAAGTGGTGGCACCTTGCATGTTGAACCACACTACCAAGCATTCCAAGGTTAGGTGAGATGGACGTTCAGAAAGAGCAGTAGAGGAAGAACAGTAGAGATGCCGTGCGAGTGCATGTTTGCGGAGAATTATCGCCCTATCATATGTATGCACCAGTCCCGAATGCGAAATATGCAGCTAGGTCAAGCCACTATCTCCACGTGAGCACGCGAGGTAATCAATTGCTCTACTTTTGTGAATCCAGCGCCTCCCTTGAATATGGATATGCCCAACGCCGCTCCCACGCGGTGATGCTACTCAATCTGGCCATGCCAGGCGCCTGCTATTAAAAATACATGCAAATTACAGTGAAACCAACGGTTGTGATTATGGGCATTGTCGGCTATGCGTCGTCCGGTGGGTTGTTGAAGAAAGCGAATCGTATCCTGTGGAGCTGGGGAAGTTAGTAATGCTTCGTCTGAAGAGTGTTGGGGTGCATACCGAGGGGAGCTTTGGAATGACGACTGCTATGGTCGCAAAGCAGTTGATGAGGAAATACGTCAGATTGTAATTCGTGTAGTGCGTGCTGACGAGAAACAGCACAATGGGTACGCTGAGAAGGAACTTCTTGGCTGGTGTGTATTGTTCGCCGTTGTCAATCTGCTCCCACATGTTCAAGTTGTCGTAGGCGCCCGAGTTGAAGTCAAAGGGCACACCGCGCACGTAGTGGAACATGAGGTAGGATCCCGCCACGTACGAAAGATTGACGAGGGTCCATGATGCTTCTTGCGACATGCCGGGGATGATGTCAAACAGAATCTTGCCGAAGAAGATGAGGACAAAGTGGATAGCCCAGGCGCCTGGAGGTGTTAGCCTGAGATACAGAATAGCAGCATATCATCTCTATCTTCTGTTATATGTATGCGCGGTATCTCGTGCTCACCCTTTGCATTCACCCATTCGGCGTTGAGGTTGGGCAGGGCGGACTGGTCGCTCAGCTGCTCCAGAGACTCGGGGGGCTCTTTGTAGACAAGACTACTGCTACGTCGCCTCCTCGCGTCTTTTGCAGCATCCAGCGACATCTTGGAGTAGGACGAGGACGAGGGCGAGTCTGATGGGCGAGACCGCGGATCGCCAGCAAAGCTCAGGCGGGAGGTGCGATTGAGGAGTATGGGTGACAGTTTGGCGGTATTGCTGGGTTCGTCGGGCGGCCGGGCGGTGGAAGAGGGGGATATATAATCGCGTGCGCGGGCTGAGGCTATGGGAGAGCTGCCACGGGCAATGGCATGTCAGTGAGGTCCTAAAGGAGCAAGGCGGCGACGTGGGCTTTCAGGGTCTTCTTACTGAGTACGCAATACCTTCCGGGGCGTCCGAGCTTTTGGCGTTGAGCGATTGGCGCAGAGAAGGGCGTGTAGACGGTAGCGATATGGCGGGGCAGCGGGCAGAGAAGAGGGAACTGTTGGCAGAGGAGGAGGGAGTGAAGCCTCAGTCGGCAGGCGTGAAGACGGAGGCGTGGCAGGTCCACATGATGCTCCCAAAGACCGTGTTCCTAGCAATCACCGAGGCCGTGCCCTGAGCGCAACCATACAACTCTAGAACCAGACACGACCACCTCCGTCCGCCAAAGACCCTCCAACCACCACCCTTTTCACCACCATGGCCTCGGAAGCGCCGCCCCCGATGGAGACCCACGCCCTCGCCCACGATGCACCGCCCGCCGATGCACCCGATGCGACGCAGAAGCCCGTCAAGCGCTCGTGGAGGTATGACGCGCCGACGGATTAAATGCAGTCCCCAGCTAATGTGCATAAAAGACGAAAATATCGTAAGATGCGTATTAGGTTCGAAGAGGCCATGAACGACAGCGACTCCCTCATCAAGCAGGAGTGGAAGGCCATGGGCACCGCCCGCCGCCTGCAGGAGAACAACGACCAGATCCTCGACATCCTCCTCGAGCTCAACGAGCAGACACGCGTCAACCCGCGCCTGCGCTTCGACCTGCGCAACCTCTCCGCCGCCGACACCGCCGTGCCCTCGCTGGAAGCCGTCCCCGATCCAGAACTGGTGAAAGCGCAGCTGCAGACGCTGAGAGATGACCTGGCCGCCAACACCATCACCCCCGAGGAATACGCGACACGGGCTGACCAACTGCACTCGTCGCAAGCCATCCAGCAGACGCTCAAGTCGCTCGCCAGCCTCGAAGCCAAAGTCCCCCACACGACGCGCGCCGACCTGCCCGACCACGCCGTCGACGGCATCGACCTCAGCGAGCATGCGCCGGGCTACATGTCGCCCACCCACGAAGACGAATATCTCCTCGCTACCGACCAACTCCTCGAACAGCCCGGCTTCGACCAGGCCCTCCAGCAGGGTCGCCCCGTCCGCCTCGCATCTGCCCAGCCCCCGCTCAGCGAAAAGGATCTTACCGTGCGCAACCCGGACAGCGTCTACAACTGGCTGCGCAAGCACCAGCCCCAAGTCTTCCTGCAAGACAAGGACGCGGCGCATCACGAGAACCTCTCCGAAAAGTCTGCCGCTCCAAAGACCAGCAAGGCCAACGCAACAAAGGTCAAACGCGAGTCAAACATTGGCGGCGGCGGCACACCCGCTCCCCGCGACCACGACGACGAAGACTCCGCCGCGCCCGAGACCGGCAAGGGACGACGCAAGACTGGTGGTGGCGACGACGACACCGCCTACCGACCCAAGGGCGGCAGCTCTCGACCCGCAAAGCGTAAGCGGGAAGAGGGCGAGACGCCTGCGGGTAAAGGCAGCAGGAAGAAGAGTCGCCCCAGCGCGGTCACAGGACAAGCTGCTTGACCTGCTTGCTAACAGCGCGCATAGAAGAGATGGCCTATCGAGCTGGGGTATGCACTCATTGCGTGCGCAGTTACGATAGCAAGACCTCGTACACATGCAACGTGCGGATCCACGCTGAGAACGCTTCCGTAGCCATCCCTTGTAAGACGTGCGAGCGCCGTGGCGCCGAGTGCATTGTCGATCCACTCAATACCGGAATCATGGATACATCCGTTTAACATCGTCGTAAAAATCACGTTGGAATTGGGGACGGCGTTATAGGGAAATATTGGCGTAACGATGGGTCTAACTATACCCTTGGAAGACTATTCCCGGAAATTTGTATCAATAGGAGTTAAGGTCCACCACTGGATATTTGGTATCATCCATACACGCAGCACAGAAAGATGCTGTTTCCATTGCGTATCTGTACAACAATCAAACATTTCATATTCATACAGCAACAATCACATGTGTTGTCTATTTCCTACCTCAACGGCTTCCCCCTCGCACCCCCCACCATAACCGTCTCCGGCGCCTTGCCCGCCTCACTCATAAACGGCAAGCTCGTCTCAAGCACCTTGCTCCCATCCACCAGCAACCCATTCCCCTTGCGCTGATCCTCAAGATACGCCGTCTTCGCCCTCTTCTCCTCCAGATACTGTTTCCTCTCCTTCGTCAACACCCATTCCTTCGGGAACTCCGCCCTCTTCTTCGGCGTATGATGTCTAAAATCAAACGGCACGTCTTCAAACGTATCCTTGCCTTCCTTCGCTTCCTTGATAATAGCAGATAGGGTGTCGCCTAGGAACCGCTTGTTTTGTGACTGTGTATCGAATTTCTCGCACGAGAGCTTGACGATGTTGGTGGAGGGGTTGTAGCGGGGTCCCGCGAGTTTGATTACTTTGGAGACTTGGAGGGGGGTGAGGGAGTGGGAGGCGGAGAGATCGTTGGGCGAGAACTCGACGACGACTTTGTTGGCGGCGGGGTGCGATTCTCCGAGGTAGGAGGTGTAGCGGAAGCGGAAGGGGGTGGAGGATGTGGGGGGTTCGAAGGGGCGGGCGAGGTCTGGGTGATGTTAGTCATGTGTGTTTCGTCCTAGATATGTTGGAATCGTTCAAACGTACGGCTCAGAAGCGGTAGTTCCCACGCAATCAACCGCGCGTACTCTCTCAGCTCGCGGTGCTGCTCTAACTCTCCGTGTCCGTGACTCGTCAGGTCGTCGCCGTAGTAGTCCTCATCCGGTCCCATGCTCTCTTCTCCCTCCGCCCAGAATCCCGTGGATACCTTCCTCTTGTCATCCTCTTCAATATCAAAGTCTTCGTCTGTTTCCAGGCCAAAGTCTTGGGTCTGCGGGAGACCGCGTTTCCCCTTGCGGAGGGCGTCGCGGACAACATTCGGATCGATCTCTGCGAGAGACACGCGGAGGTTCTCCAACATGGCGGATTCGCGCTCCTGCGGTGTCATATCTTGGAACGCCTTTGACTGCGTGGTATTCGAGAACGAGGATTGAGGTAATTCCGGCGCCAATTCGTCCAGAGTCTCAGTCGGTTTCTTCGCATCCGCAGCGGTTACAGAGCCCTCTTTCGTGGGTTCATTGGCGTACCGCCGCGGCGTTGTGGATATTGGCCGTTGCCATTGTGCGGATGTGTGTTTCGGTGCTGCGAGCGTACGTATCCGCGAGGGGCATTGGCGCGACTGCAGCAGCAGTCTTCGTGGTATTGACGCCATTGGATGTTGGTTGGGCGGGTGATGCTGTCGTCGACTTTTCGCGATGCTGGATTGGCTTGGCGATGGGGTGCAAAGTGTGGCCGTGCGTTGGACCAATTGGAACTAAGATGGCCCCGACCTTCGCCGCCGTCTCTCCATCGTGACCATCTTGACGCCGACTTGATTTCGACTTTTGGTTCTGATCTCGAGGGCAGTTGATGGCTGGACTGACCACGCTCACCGTTTACTATCCCTCGGTATCTTGACATTCATCACATCCACCATGGCTTGGAACTGGACGTCTGATTCGAAGCTCTGCTTCGTGACTACCGGAGCAACGGCGCCGTTCACCGAGCTCATTGAATCAGTGCTGACTCCGACGTGCCTGGATTCACTTCGCGAAGGTGGCTTTACACATCTTTTGGTTCAATATGGATCAGCCGATTACGTGTACAAACAATTCTCCAAACTCGCTTCAGCACATTTACAGGAGACCCCGTCAAAAGGAGACCTGGTTATAGATGGCATAGATTTCAATCCGGACGGACTGAAAACCCAGTTCCAGTTGGTGCAGCGGTCGAAAGGCTTGGTCATCTCACATGCTGGTACTGCACAGCCATTCCGTTTAGTTGTCTCATCTAACGATGCATAGGATCTGGTTCTATACTCGAAGCACTTCGCTATCAAATCCCACTCATCGTCGTGCCCAATACTGGACTACTTGATAACCATCAAGAGGAGCTCGCTGTTGCAATGGAACGGAACAATTACCTCGTTCGTGGGGATGTAAAGTACGATTGTGCTTCAGACTAGTGGTGGCTTGAACTGACAGATCGTTAGGGATCTTGCGCCTGCGATCAAGAAGTCAGACGATTTCCGACTGAAGATGTCGCAATTCCCACCTATGACGAGTGGGAAGCATCGTGAGACTAAGAGTTTTGCGGCGATCATGGATGAGACGACTGGATATATGGATTGATGCACTCTTCATAAACACCTGCTTTGTTTGTGTTCGCGGAAGAACTCGAATTCTGAGAGACTTGAGCGCTATCCCGATGCTTGGGAGAAGGCCTGCTGTTTGGCATACATTCAGTCTTGAATACCCCGTTCTCAACTCACGGTACTCCCAACCTGGATACGGTTGAGAAATAAGCAGGAATATGTCGCTATCTCAGAGAATAACATTCGTCGCATTACGGTACCATATCGCTCCTGCAACGCATCGATGCGGCAGGACGTACCATAGGGACCAGGTGGACAGGGTTGGAAACTGCGTCACCTGTCACTTCCATTGGGTCACGGCGTGGAACCGAGATTGGTTGCTCCGGGTGTTTATTGCGGTAGTCACTTCCCCTTCGCTCTGAATGCGGGTTTGCAACTGCCCGTTAATTTACTGTGTACGTACCTGCGACGTATGTATCTGAGCTTTACAGATCGCCAGCAATTCTGGCTTGTACTACTTTCACTCGTTCACCTTCAAAACACCACTTGGTCTTTTCGTTCGACCTTCTTTCTCTGCTTTACTGCGCCTCGATAATCTGGCGCAAATACAGCAGACGATCCAAACCACACCCAATCCAGCATGCGTGCGCAGTCCTTCATCACAACGCTGCTGGCAGCTGTGGCCTCCGTCGTAGCAGCCGCGCCTAGGTGAGCACCCTTCCGTACAAGCCCAGTCTCATAGGCTTACTATATCTGTAGTACCCTTCACGGCCGAAGCGTCGCCTTTGACTGGGGTACCGAGAAAGTGCGAGGCGTCAACATCGGCGGTTGGCTCGTCGTGGAGCCGTAAGCAAGCCAGTACGCATTGTTTGCTCTGCCTGACACTGCCAGATTCATCACACCATCCATCTTCGAGAAGTACGACTCAGAAGAATGGCCAGTCTTTGACGAATGGACGCTTTGCGAGCGACTAGGCTACGATGCTTGTGCCGATGTGCTGAAGCAACATTGGGATAACTTCGTCTCATTGGACGATTTTTGGAAGATCAAGAATTCCGGCTTCAACGTCGTGCGCATTCCCGTCGGTTACTGGAGGTGAGACTTCCTACAATTCCATCATGCAACCCCACTAACGGCACACCTTATAGCTACGTGGAGCCCTGGGGCCCTTACATCGCCGGTGCCGCTCCCTACCTCGACGCCGCAATCGACTGGGCGCGCCAAACCGGTCTCAAGATCATCATCGACCTCCACGGCGCACCCAAATCCCAGAACGGCTTTGATCACAGCGGCCACACAGCATCTTGGCCATCATGGGGCGATGAGGAGAGCCTGAGTCACACACACGCTGCACTCAGTGTGATCTCACAAAAATACGCCAAACCAGAGATGCAAGATGTCGTTATCGCCATCCAGTTCCTCAACGAGCCTTTCCTATTGAAGCTCGATCAGGAGATGGTCAAACAGTTCTACAACGACGCGTATTGGAGCCTACGAGATATCAGCGACACACCCGCCATGATGCACGATGGCTTTGAGAACCCGTCTTGGCTGAACGGTTTCCTGACTACCAAGGATGGTGCGAGCAATGTGATTGTCGATCATCATGAGTACCAGATCTTCGGCGATGGTGTCAACGGCATGTCCATCGACCAACACATCGCTCTTGCGTGCAACTCTGTAAGTCACAAGCTCTCTGTCACCTCACGGGTAAACATGTACTGACCCCTCCCTTCCAGGTCACCAACTACGACAGCTCCGACAAATGGACCAGTAAGCCCCGCCCATCCCCATCCCTCCCCTCCGCACACTAACCCCCACCCCAGTCGTAGGCGAATGGTCCGGCGCCTTCACAGACTGCGCCCCGCACCTCAACGGCTTCCACTTAGGCTCCCGCATGGAAGGCAGTTTCCCCGGCTCCTACTACATCGACACCTGCGCCGGCAAATCCGGTCCTGTCTCCTTGTGGTCTCAAGACTGGAAGAATAGCGTACGTCGCTACATTGAGGTCCAGCTGGATGCGTACGAGGCCAAGACGAAAGGATGGATCTTTTGGAACTTCAAGACTGAGGGGGGCGCGGGCGAGTGGGATCTGTTTCAGTTGATTGATGGGGGCGTTTTTCCGCAGCCGTTGGAGAGTAGGTGGTTTGAGAGGGCTTGTGACAACTTTTGAGTGGGCGTGAGGGATGATGGGCGAGGAACTTGTGGGTTGACACGGGATGGGAGACGGGTGTGATGTTGTGGGAGACGGGTGATGGGGTATGCGGTGGTACTTGTGTATGGGTATGTGGCATCTTAGTGGATATGTACTGACATCGCATGTTGATATTAAAAACCGGTTGGACATCACTCCCGTCTTCTCCTAATACGTCACCCCTTTCCCGCACTCTTGTGATATCATTTTACTAATTGTCGAAACATGGGTAGCGCCTCAGTTTATGCGTAGACTAATCACGCATCTACTAGGACCAGCCATGCGTTCACGCTAACTCCATGATATATAACCTGCTCCATTTCCCAACCACGAAAAGACCGTATCCCGCCATTCATTTTCCTTATTATATATAACTTTACATACGTCCAGACGATGGTTGCAAGACATGGTCTGCCCTGTTAGTTTTGTCGACTACTGCTACGAAACCCATGGCTTCTGTCGGCACCATCTGCAATCTTATATATATAACGCCACGACCAAAGTTATGTCATACAATTCCGATTGGCACTTCCTGACCTCGTTCCGAGACGTTCTGGCTCCGACAACCCTGATGTACTTGGGCCAGTGTCACTTGTGTGGCATCCGATGTGATTGCGCTGTGGGGTCGCTTCATAACGTACCGGCGCGTGGAGAGACATCTAGACGCCGTGCACCTCATCGAGAGTCCGTAAGCTCTTCTGTTCGATGAACAGGCAATTGAGCTGACGGCAATGGCTTTCCTCGAGCTAAGCGCGGTTTCTCCGTGCCACTCGATATATACTGTGCGAGAAATCGAAACGGCTCTCGATGACATGTCTCGCGGACAGACACTCTGTCGCGTTTTACTCTGCGCGTCGTTCCTATATATACACCCGGATTCTAGTGCGTTGGCCTATTGGCTTATGTTGCGGAACGCTGCTCGCATCGCCACTCGATAGCTGGAGGGGTTTCCTGTCATTGGATTCACCAGTTGAACGGACTGTTCACGCCGTCAGTCAAGATCCAAGATCGACAGCCGACAGTCTTGACGTTCCTTCACGATGCGGTGCGTGCTGTCGTGGGCTCCGCCATTACACCAGATGAAGTTATAGCGGGGACTTAGGAATATAGCTACGAAGACGTCGAGGCTGAGAAAGTGGGAAGAGAGCATGTCTTATACAACTCTCCTTCATTATATATACGCGCACTCACAGATCGAGCTTCGCGCTGCAGAACTGTGTGCGAAAGCCGGTACGTATCTCCATTCTATTCAATCGCCTGCGGATGTAAAACATGCTGGGCCTGTACGTTGGAAAACGAAGATAACTGACACCTGCTCAGGTCATATGGGTAACGGCTCCACGATACAGAATGTACGGTCGACGCGTGCAGTGCTGGGTTCACTGGGAAGACGTGCCTCAATGGCCACCATTGGATGATTTCGTCCGTCGTGCGCGACTCGCCAACGGAATTTGACAAGGATGAGCAACAGGTGGCAGAATATATACACCTGGCAGGTCTTTCGCGATTGCAGTCTTGCGATTCGCGATAAGAACACACCACATGATTGACTGTGGACTTCCTCACCCAATGGTACTGCGATGACACAACGACGAGGCGCACACAATTGCCGCATCACTTAACCATCCCAAACACCAATGTACTCTCGAATGCAAAGATTGCAACGAGAGACTTGCTTCAAACCCGAATACTCGACGCGTGCTTTCCTCAGCACTCCATTACGAGAACAATATGCAAGTCCAACGCGCAAACTTTGCGCGCAAGAAAAAGTTCATGCTGCAAGGAGAAGTTTCTGATACACAACCCTGCTGCGATCACAAAGTCCAGAACCGCACATCGTCATTTTCTCCTCTCCGCACACCCGTCATTTACTATTTTTGCGCCG